ATATGCACTACTCCTATAATCCTTTGTCTCCCTACCCCCACGGCCACCCCTGCTCCTCTCCTATCCACTAGTCTCATTACGTTGCATCTCTCAGCACACTTTGTGTTCATGATGGTCATCTGTGCTCCAGTGTCCACCATAGCCTTCACACTGACTCCATTCACTTTCACTTGTACGTAAAGCATTATGACCCGACTGGTGACAATCTCTGGATTAAGTGCCATTTTAAAGTCCTTTCTTCTTTGACAAATGTTATCGGCTACTTTTTCCTGGTATTCTGAACTCATTGGGTCTAATCCTTCTAACTCTTGCATTTCTCTCTCTAGGCCCTACAGCAATGGAGATAAGGGGAGAGAAATTAAGCATGGCTATATAATCAATAAAATGATTTATTATAGCTGTTCGTAATGAGCATTAGAATAAGCTAGTTACTCATGCATGAATATTAGGAATGCAAAACACAAAATGAATTTATCTAATTTACATAAAAATTAATGCAATTGTGAATACATCAACATGTGAGCTTCTCTCTTATAGACGGTCTGATCAGCCCTAAAATGTCTATATTTTTACAATATCTGGCTGAGACATTTCATTCTTCCACCCACCTGTGTATTCGTGAAACAAGGGCAAAGTGGACGGGATCTCAGCTTTTAACTTAAATTGCCTTGTTTAATAAAAAATATTATTGTCTTATGTTATTTCACTATAAAACATTATAATTAATTTATGCAAATTATTACTATTATTATTATTATTATTATTATTATTATTATTATTATTATTATTATTACTATTATGACGAGATCATGAAAGAGGGAGAACCCAGAGGAGAGACAAAAAAAATGCAAACAAATAAGAGGAACAAAAATTATTATTATTATTACCATTAATTCTTCCTTATAATATTGCTTCACAGTGTTAATGTTTCCAGTGGCAACGGCTTCAGCTAACTGAGGGTTCTGCTGTCTTAAAATGCTCATCTCCTCGGAGTCCGATAGAAAATACTGGATGAAGGTCACTGGGTCGAAAGATTCCAGACCCTCTGGCTCCATTCCTAATAATTGGGTCCCCAGACCATCTTCAGTGGAAGGAAGTGGGGCAGTACCAGCTGGTTGCAGTCCTTGAATGATAAATATAATATTAATGTTTTAAAATCACCTAGATTTAACTGTAAATTAAATGCACTGCAGATGTATGTACATACTTGATTGTGATATGCTAATAGGGTTCCAATCAATATTCGGTAATTCAAATTTAATTTCTAAAGTCTGAGTCTGGCCGGTGGTGGGCGGGGCTCGTACGTCCTGACGATTAGCAACCACAACAATATCCTTATCCTGCACTCCGAGAGACGTGAGAGTATTTTCTCCTCCGGCTCTTTCCCTCAGTTCTTGCATGTTGTGATAGAGAATGAGAGATCCTTGGGGTATGTTGGTCTCCATTGATAATAGAGCCTTGAGGTCGTTTAGTGGTAGCTCTTCGCTCACATCAAATGGATAGACATTGCCATCAATAGTACTGACCACTATCTGCATTGTAAAGAGAGAGAGACAAAATAACAAACAAAATTATTTTGGATATTGCCACGAAGATGAATAACACATCTGCATACATTTGCGTGTTGATGAGAGTGGGTGTACAAGCAGTTTACGGTATACCGTAAATATTCTTACATGTGTGTAATTTTTTCTTATTCTTTAATTTAAAAACGTTCAAAATGCCTGACTATCTTGGTAAAGATCAAAGAAGAACTAAAGAGGGTGAAGACGAGGAAGAAAAGCCAATTACAAGTGAGAGAGGACCTTTACTTTATTTATTTATTTTGTTTTTAGGTCTTGACGAAGGAGACATTCAAATACTCAAGACTTATGTAAGATTTTATTTTAATTATTTTAATTAATTACAAACCACACCCACAATTTTCAAAAATAAAAGTAAAAATTTTTTGCGTTTTATGTTATCAGGGAACAGGTCCTTATGCAAAGCCGATAAAGAAGATAGAAGACGACATACAGGATCACATAAAGAAAGTGAATGAGTTAGCAGGGATAAAAGAGTCTGATACTGGACTGGCGGTACCTTCACTTTGGGATCTTCCTGCCGATAAACAAGCACTCCAGAGTGAAGAACCTTTACAAGTAATATAGTACAGTATATCCTCAAATAAAAACCTGATAAAATAAAGTATTAATTAGAAGAAATACGAGCCTATTTATTATACATTAAGTATAGGAGATACATCAAAAATAAGAAATTAAAAATGAGAAATGGAAGTCCAGGCTTTTATTTAAGGATTTACAGTATTTGCAATCCTCTCCTACTCTTTCTTCTCTTGTGCAGGTGGCTAGATGTACTAAGATCATTGATGCTGATACTGATCACCCGAAATACGTGATTCATGTTAAGCAATTTGCTAAATTTGTCGTTAACTTGCACAAGAACTTAGCACCTACTGACATAGAGGAAGGGATGAGAGTTGGGTGAGGGATTAAATATATAAAAATTTTATAAAAATTAAATAAATTTTTAATAATTTTTTTAGAGTTGATAGGAACAAATATGAAATTCATTTACCACTACCACCAAAGATTGACCCCACAGTCACCATGATGCAGGTATTTTTTATACTAAAACTTGCACATACATGTACATCTACAATTCACATATATGTACATGTAGAATTTCTTTTTGTTATTTTAGGTTGAGGAGAAACCTGATGTCACTTATGGCGATGTTGGCGGCTGCAAAGAACAAATTGAGAAACTTAAAGAAGTCGTAGAAACACCACTACTCCATGTAAGCAAGAAATTACTAGTGTACAGTGCAGAACTTCTCTCTCTCTCTCTCTCTCTCTCTCTTTGTCTCTCTTTCTCTCTCTCTCTAGCCTGAAAAGTTTGTTAAATTAGGTATAGAGCCGCCGAAAGGCGTCCTATTATTTGGTCCCCCTGGTACCGGTAAGACCCTGTGTGCTCGTGCAGTTGCTAACAGAACTGATGCTTGCTTCATACGGGTCATTGGGTCAGAACTAGTTCAGAAATACGTCGGAGAGGTACAGTAATACCCTGTCATGTGATATCATATAGTGCTTTACTTTCATGGAGTTAAACTTTAGTGTAAAAATGAGTTTTTTTATTGAAATATTGTTCTTATATAACATTAATATGTATTCCACACACTACACTGTCTATGTATCTTAATTTTCCCGCCTTTTTTATTATTCAAAGGGTGCCAGGATGGTGAGGGAGCTATTCGAAATGGCTCGTACGAAAAAAGCTTGTATCATATTCTTTGACGAAATTGATGCCATCGGAGGTCAGTGATTCTAATTAATGCCCTCTATTCTAATTAATGCCCACCATTAAGAGAGCAATAGAATGTATGTTATGTTACTCAGCTACTAGTAATGGTCCATGTAATTGCTTATAGCTTCAAGTTATGCTAGTTTTGTAATTATATATCAAAGTTTGGTAATCATCATTCTGTCTCTATTACAGTATTTGTCAGTATAGCCTATAGCTACGTCGTACATGTACGTACAGTACATATGAGTGTGAGTGTGTGACTCTTTCTTGTCTGATAATGTGTTCCATTAGCCTACAGTCATCACTTGTTATCATTACTATCACTCTCCTACATGCATTGCCCCAGGGAGTTTATTAATGCACTGCATCTAGTATCAGTATCAGTCTATACTGTGTAGTAGTTGCTCTGTTGTTCATAGTAGGTTAATGACCAGTAAATGGTCAATATTTGAAAATGGCCAGGAGAGAATTTTTATTGGAATATCTGATGCATATACATGTTCTTATGTTGTGTAGAAAGTTTGAGCTGATTCCGATCAAGATTGGATTTTTTACGAATTATTGAAGTTGCTCCAAAATCAAGCCAAAATCCCTGTACTATATAGTACATGGTCTCGGGCCAAATTTTGCCAAAAATGACAAGGAGAGAATTCTTCATTTTTATGATTTTATCTGATACATATACATGTTCTTATATTGTGTAGAAAGTTTGAACTGATTCCGATCAAAATTGGATTTTTTACGAACTTTTAAAAGTCTTTCCAATGAATGAGAATTTGCATTAATCTTGCGCTTGTTCTAGTGGGTGTGGCCTCAGCCCGAGAGATGTGATATGAGAGTGTCTGATGATTTATAATGCTTGACCTACTGACTGTCTGGTATTTACATTAGCTTCTAATTATACACATGTACATGTATCAAATTTTAATTTGAATATAACGTTACTTAATTTTAAAAGGGACAAGATACAGTGACGGAGATGGGAGCAGCAATGAAGTCCAGCGGACTATGCTTGAGCTAATAAACCAGTTGGACGGGTTTGAGCCTCGGGGTAACATCAAAGTACTAATGGCCACCAACAGGTACGAATAATGATAAAGGGTGTGTTACTTTGTTTCTCTTTAGACCGGATACATTAGATCCTGCTTTATTGAGACCAGGTCGTGTGGATAGGAAAGTTGAATTCGGACTACCTGATTTAGAAGTATGAGGAGGAGGGAGAGAGAGAAGTAGAGAGAGAGAAGGAAAGAGAGAGAGAGAGAGAGAGAGGGAGGGAGGGAGAGAGAAAGAGGTGAGGAGAATGAGAGAAAGATCAAAGATCGTATCAAATATTATATCCAGCTGCAAGTAAATGTGATATCATTGTATAAAGTTGTACTTGTGCATGTTCATGTACATTACAGGCACGTATTAATATTTCATTATTCTCACGTTAGCATTTTAATTGTTTTTGATGATGGAGCGTGACTTTGTAGAG